TGTTAGTAAAAACACAGCTCTTTGGTAAAACAGTAAATAATATACTTATTTTCACGATGCCAGTGCTTTTAAAAAGGAAAAATCATTTATTCTGTGAACGTGAAAACCATGACTCTCACCTTAAAGGGGCTAAGACAGTTTATTCTGGAGCCAAGTATGAGTAATCATGGCCCAGGAATACAGATTTAGGCAGGTTACCCTAAATTCCATATTCCAATGTAGTTAGAGTTTGAAGTTTTTAAAGCAACAGAACAAAGAAAGTCATAGATTAAATCCCTTTTCAATATATGGTGGAAATATTAGATAAATATTAAACATTAAGGAAAATCTCCCTTTAGGTCTCTCATTTATTTTCCAACATTTTTAGACTTTTGGTTGGATGAAGTCTGCTAACATATTTCCAATGTTTTTTATCTATTGGTAATGAGGACATTAGGTCAGATATGGGGGTGGTATGTAATGGCCATTAAGGGACTGAAGACAGGCCAAGATATAGTCCAATTGTCAAGACCTGCAACAGTCCAGCCTCCGCACAAGCACAGAAGTTAGCCACCCTGGAGAAGCTTCAGTGGAAGGGTGATTGTTTCCACACAATCCCTAATGATCACAGTATAAGAAACAGAAATGAAGTACATTATAGGTATCTAATCTAAATATACCATCCACCATTAGCCCAAGAGGTGGGTACTCTGGCCAGTGTGGTTACACACACCTATAATCCCAGTACTCAAGAGGAAGAAGCAGCCTGCGAGCTTGAGGCCATCATGGACTACGTAGTAAGACTTTGCTTCTGTAAATAAAGAAGTAAACTTGGCTGCTTTGTATCTGTCAGCAAGAAGAACATGAGCAACTTAAAATCAACATGAACCACACACACACACAAAAAAAAAACCTCAAAACCAAAGTGAAATAAAGATGGGGGGGGGGACACAAAACACCCCAATACATTGCCATCTTTCCTTTTTAAAAAGGTTATTAATGAACCACAAGAAAACTAAAAATTATTTTCAAAGTTCTATAGGAAGGGCTGGAGAGATGGCTCAGCAGTTAAGCACACTTGCTGCTCTTGCACTGAGCCTGAGTTCAGTTCCCAGTACTCACACTGGGCAGCTCACAACCACCTGCGATTCTCCTCCAGGGGACCTAACCCTCTCCTGGCCTCCACAGGCACTTGAAAACACAAGCATAGACACACAAATATATACACATAAGTAATAAATCTTCAAAAATTCTGTGCAAGTGCAATGTACTAGACAGAGAGGTGGAGACAGTATCTCTCAGCCAATAAATACACTTAGACATTACATATGCTCTAATATATAATGGTCGATGTGGAATGCTACGATTATATGAGAGGTATTTAGTGGATTATGAGTTCAGACAATTTTTGCTGTTAGGGTATGAGCAGAAATTATACTGTGTAGGGCCAGCATGCACTACTCTAATGTTACACATCATACACAATGGGATTTTGAAAATGCAATCATAAATCATTACTGGTAGCCAAGTCAAACATCTCTTCTCTTTATCAATGATGCAAGTTTGTGGGAGACTTACAGCTCCCTGGATCAGCTTCGCCCACCCTGTTGCGCTTGGCTTCTTCTGCTGCTCTGATATGTCAAATACTAACTCTGCAAGGAGTCACTGCTCCATTATTCCTGTGCTTTGAACACTCTGACTTCTGCATGTTGCAGTTAGGGACTTTCCACCTGACCATTAGACCATGGTTAGGTTGCCTAGTAAGTTGCCTAGTTAGTTACCCATTTACACAAGAACTTCCTCCTTTCCCTTACCCTATATTTAGCTTGCTTATTCCCTTGAATAAACGAGACTTCATCAGAATTCTGTCTTGTCTCCATCTCTTGTGTCTCTTGTCCCTTTCCATGCTCACTCCCCGTCTAGGGTCTCTGTTGACTTACCCACGGGTCAGGGAACAAGTTTTGGACTTTTTTATACTGGGATTAACCCATGGACTGCAGCATGCTAGAAAGTTGCTCAACCACTGAGCCACATGCCTATCCCTTGAGATAGTACTCTAAACACATCTCAGTAGAGGTTTGCCCTGCCTGTCAATTGAGAATTGAGGGGGGAAGGGCAGTACAGGAACGATGATGGGCAAACGCTCTGTATTCTGCTTTTGAAAACGTCAAGAAACAAAAGTGACTCACAGGACGTTAAGGAAGTGGGAAAGAAAGCTCACAGAAAATGGTTGGGAAGTGAAAAGAGGCGGAACCAAGAGATTCCAAAAGTCCTGAGCTTGGAGCTCCACTCATCTCAAAGGGCGCAGAGAGTAGGTGCGGGCAGCCAGCGGCGATAGCAGGAGGGGGCCTAGGAAGTGCAGAGTGGCAGGGACCCCGGGCTCCAGAGCAGAAAGGACAAGACCAGCAGCAGAGTTAGAGCCGCCCAGCCCCGCGGGTCCCGGTTGTGTGGCCGGTCCGCAGCGCGCATCCGGAGGGCCGCCATCGCCAGCCCCGCCGCGGCAGCCTCGAGTTACCTGCTGGTCTCCAGGGAAGAATAGCGCTCTGGCAAGACTTGGAGGCAGCGCTGGAAGAACCGCACGTGCCGGTCCCGCAGGAAATCCAGCCGCTCTCCCTCTCCGCTCGCCAGCCTCTCATCCTCTGTGGCCGCCATGCTGCTCCGTGAAGCGACACTCACCGCGACCCGGAAGCAGTTGGCGGGAAGTGCGACGTCAACACTAACCGGCTTCCCACCAGGAGGCTGCCGGGGACCGAGGCGATGGCGATAGCCGCATACTGTCCACTACCGAAAAGCTCTTCTCCCTAGGTTGGGCAGTCTTTTCTACTCAGTCTCAAAGTTTTAGAAACCCTTCTCGCGTCTCGTAAAATCAGTTCGTAAATACCTTCATAAGAGAGAGAGTGTGAGTGTGTGTGTGTGTGTTTGTGAGAGAGAGAGAGAGAATATGACAGACTGAAATCCATATTTCTTCGTATGCTAACCAAACCAATTTAAATCCTGGCCCTACACAACATAAGGGTTTGAGATCTGAAAGTTTAATTTTGCAAAGACTCATTTTTGGAGGGCCACAGTTTTAAGCTGAACGAATTGGCAAACTAAATTTACAGGTGGGAACTAGAGACAGACGTTTTACCAGAGAATTATCAACACTATGAAAATTCAGACACTTTTTCTAATCCTCCTTATAGTATCTGGAATTATTTTAAAATGCATGCACACATGGTTCTCATCTTACAACGTTTGGACCTATGCTGTGTATTGAGTACGGGTGCTTTGACAGTGAAGATATCAAATTGGCAGAGAGCAGTTCACTTAATTGAAGGTCCCTGAAATGGACCCACCAATGGACACTGGCAGAACTCAAAAACAGTTACGATTAAAAGAATATGATAAAGCATTGGCTCATTTTAAGAGAGCTAAGGCAATAAAGGGACAGAAGATAAAGCTATCCAAGCAGAATTTATGAAAATCAAACAAGAACAACAGAAGATACAAAGATAAGGAGGCAGTATATAAAAAAGTATTTGCTTAATAAGGTTTGAGCTTTGCTTAAATATTAAACATTGATTATATAAAAGGGAACTCAACAATGTAATAGTTATTTCTGTTTATGCTTTATTTCCACATTGTTGATAATTTAGAAATACTGATATAGGTTTCCTCTTAAAAATGAAGTATAACAAAATAGTGAAGTTGATTTTTGCTTGCACAGACATTTATTCATGGGTTGTTTTTTCCCAGAGGACAAGACCATAAGAATTTTAGGCTTTATGGATCAGCTAGTCTGTCACAACTATTCAGGCCTTCAGTTGCAATTTCACTATAATTCATAATTAGCCACAGACAATGTATAACCAATGGGCAAGGCTGGTTCAGTAAAACCTTATTCATAAAAAGTAGAATTAAAGTTGCCTTGGAAGGCATTCATGACGAAGAAGTCCACAAAAGATTAGGCCCAAACAAGATCCTTTAAGAACCAATAAAGTAAGGAGAAATTTGGGTGTACTTTTAATTGTAGAAAATGAATTTCCTTGAAAACGTGATCTGTGGGTTAGTGTTACATATACTTATTTAACACTCAACCCCAAAGCACCCTGGGTAATTTTTGGTACTCAGCAGTTGCACAAGCTTAGAAACCTGAGTTCAAACCTAGGGATCAACAGAAAAGTGGGAAGAGAAAACCAACTCCACCAAGTTGTCCTTTGATATAGCCCAGCGAATTGTGGCACATGTGGGTCTGCCCCCAAACACATCATGCTTACACACACACACAATTAAAAACAAGCCACAGAGAAACCCTGTCTCGAAAAACCAAAAAAAAAAAAAAAAAAAAAAAAAAAACCAAGGCTGGAAGTAAAGCCCGTGGAGCCTGGAGTTGACATGCTTGGGGCCATAGGTTTGATCCAAAACACCGACACCAAAGATACTGAAGACTGGAACAGTAAGAATTGCATCCACCAGTGAGTGTGCTTGGCTTTGATGCAGGCAGCTGAAAGGTGCGTTTGTGTGCAGTACAGGGCGACAGAAGAAAGGTTTGCTTTCCTCTATCTTAGGTAGCAGTTCATTTCTCTTGAATTCCCTCGTCGTGTATATTCCTCAGTTGTTCCAGATTATTTAAAAGAGTATGGAAAACAAGGAAATAAAATGGGCACTTCCAGTTAAGGATACTTATTGTGCACCAATAACTCTACAATTAGAATCTCTTTCTAAAATTTGGAATCCAAATACTTTGAATCCATATACTTATATAACTATTAACTTTACGTAAGGAAAGATTTAGATCATTAATCCTAGTAATTTCTGGGTCATTCAGTCTTTATGTCTCAAATTATAATTAGAGCCATTTGAAGATAAAATTTATAAGAAGTAAATTTCCTATATTTTATGTATAAATAAAGTTGTAAGTTGAAACCTAATTAAAGTTATGGTGTGGGAGGTCCTTCTGTGTGTTGCTTTTCTTAGTTAATGAATAAAGAAACTGCCTTGGACTGTTGATAGGGCAGTACTTAGGTAGGCAGGAAAGACAGAATTGAGTGCTAGGAGAAAGAAGGACAGAGTCGGAGAGACACCATGGATCCTCTGCCTGAGACAGACACCGTTAGAATCTTTGCTGATAAACCACTGACACATGGCGATATACAAACTAATAGAAATGGGTTAAATTAATATAAGAGTTAGCCAGTAACAAGCTAGAGCTAATGGGACAAGCAGTGTTTTACTCAATATAGTTTCTGTGTGGTTATTTCGGTTCTGGGTGGTAGGGACAAACAAGCAGCCCCAGGCCCTCCTACAAAGTTAGGATAACATAAAATGTTTTAATATGGAAAATTGAAGTGAATTATGTTACAGAATTTTCTAGAATTTCAGTGTACTGTTTAAACTAGCTTATTTGAGAAGAAAGAGGGGTCCTACTGTGGGGCAAGCAGAAGAAAACTGTACCAGCCAGTAGGATACAGAGACACAAAATTTATAAATCTGTGGATCCAGAAAGCCTGAAAGGAAATTTGACACAGTTGTAGGAAACCTGGAGGATGACACCATACTATATGAGTAAGGTCCATGTAGCAAGGGAGGTTATTTAAAATAGTCTCCATATAAAACAAAGCATGCTTTAATCAAATACAAAATATTCATTACACAAAAACGAAACAACTGACAAATTACCATTTTGTTAAACTTAGAAAAAGTACTAAGTTATTGAACAACTCTTTAAAAAAAGACACTTTATGTTTTTGTTACTCAAGCTTAGTTACTTCCAAGTTATAAAAGTTACAAAATTTTGGCTTAAAAAAGACTGAGTCTCCCAAATTATTTCCTAAGCCATGAGAAAACGTATTTAAATAGAATAATGTTTGTAACATAAACCTATTTAAATAACATTCATATTAACACTAGGCCAACATACCCTCTCTGTAGAAACGAAATACTGCCAGTGCTACGTGACACTTCAAACCTCTAAGTTCATACACAGCACAGTAACCAACCTGACTACGCTACTAACATTTAAACAGCAAAGTGAATCACCATCTCCAGAAACAGCAATACTAGCATTCTCATCAAGTGAACAGCAATTGCATTATCCCATAGTCCCTCTAGATTCCTTGTCGCCAGCTTGGAATGGCCCTAAAGAGAAAATGAGGAAAGCCATTATAAATATGCAGGAAGATCAAAACAACAACAACAAAACTACTCATTAAATGACAACTTAACATATACACAGAGTTGGTGAGATGGCTCTGTGGATAAAGGCACTTCCAACCAAACCTGACAACCCAAGGTGGATGGATTCCTGAGACCCACATGGTGGAAAAAGGGACACAAACCCCAGTTATGCCCTGACAGTCACATGTACACCACAGTAACCACAGCACTCACATGACCATACAACACAACATACAATATATATATAATAAGTTAAAAATATAGATATGCTTTATCAATCTGTTAATGAAAATATATATTCAGAAACTGCATAAAATATAAATATGCATAAAACTGCATAAGATAAATCATTTATAAATTTTTAGAAATGACCCCTTTCTACTGTCTTCTCACCTGTGTGGGATATGGAGAAGTGGCCCGGAGCCTGATGGGCCTATCTTTTTGGTTCGTTCTTCCCAGCCTTTGGTAGGTTTATAAAGCCTAGAGGGATCTCTACTGACATTATTTTCAACCTGTGATCAGAAGTAAAATAATATCAGTTAACTTATATGACCTACATTCATGCTAAGAGAAATCTTTAGTGATGCAAAGCAGTGTTAAAAACTATACTTGGCTATTACCCAAACGTGAACTAACTAATGTGCCCAAATGAGCTCCAATTGTGCTTATACCCCTAACATCAATTAATAAACTGCTAATTTATCCTTCCCTAGTTCTCTATTATTTCATTTCTGTGTTAATTAAAGAAATAGACTACAGCTTAGTGTGAGAGCAATAAATAAATGTAGACTAGATAACATCAGTTAAGTCAGTGAGATACTTCATTGATCCCGAGCTGTTACCTATGAAACTAAGCAGCGCCCACAGCTACACAGATGCAGAATGGAGGTTCAGAAAGAAAGACGGGGACAAGACAGAAAATTCAGGGTGACAGAAAAGAGTGCTTCTAAAGTAAATGGCAGAGCTCGAATAATAATTGCTAACAATGTATTAAGTTGTGCTCTGTGGTATGTAAGTATGAAATATAAAGCAGAGAGATAATGAGATATAAGTGGAGTAGATCTGCCCGTCTCCATAAAGTCAAGGGATCAGGACAGTAAGGAAGGAGCCCGGGAAAAGTGTGCTATGCTGCTGGTGTGATTAGAGATTCTCGACTGTAGACTGCAAAGAGCTACGAGAAACCATTTGGACTGCTTTTGTCATAAAGAAATGATAAATATCTGAAGAGATGACTATGCCTGAATATCACATAATTACACGTTATATAAGTGAGGAAATATGTACTTTATTAATGTGAAAAAATTATGCTTATATATTGCTTGAGAAAGTAAGTTTAAAAAGTAAAGGTAAGGGCTGGAGAGATGGCTCAGAGGGTAAGAGCATTGCCTGCTCTTCCAAAGGTCCTGAGTTCAATTCCCAGCAACCACATGGAGGCTCACAACCATCTATAATGAGGTCTGGTGCCCTCTTCTGGCCTGCAGGCATACACACAGACAGAATATTGTATATATAATAAATATTTTTTTAAAAAAAGTAAAGGTAAATTAAAGCAGGGCACAACGGCACACACTTGTGCATTCAAAGCTAGCCTGGGCTGCATAGCAACATCTGTCTTAGAAAAAAACAAAATAGACGGAGTACCTTTTCTTTTAATTTGGCCAGTCGCCTTTGCTTTTCTACCTTTTCCTCTTCTTTTGATTGTCTATCTAGAATTTTCAATTCAAGTTTATGCAAATCCTAAAAAAGTACCAACAAAAAAGATGACATTAAGAAAACAAAATTAACTAAAACTTTTGTTCTTAAGTGTTTGCAATTTAAATTACCTCAGCTGCCAACACTCCTTCAAAGGTGTTTTCTTTCCTTCCTTCCTACATACCAATCCCAGTTCCCCCTCCCTCCTCTCCTCCTGCTCTCCCCCACCCCGACCCCCATCAGCTCCTCAGAGAGGGTAAGGCCTCCCTTGGGAAGTCAACTGAAGGTGCTGTTTCCAAACAAAGGCTGCATTTCCCTGAGTGCAGCCATGCAGACACTTTCTGCATTACCTTCATTTCGGATCTCATTTGCTTTACTCACAGGTTCAGCCTAAACCTCTTAATAAGCAAACTAAACCCATTTACGTATCCATAAAGGGAGGTCTCGGCTGGGGTCTCTCATATAATTTCATATTTTCAAGTTTCTTTTCTTTTTTTAATGGAGCCTGCTTACTATGTGTGTTGGGGGATGAGTAAGCAGGAGATCTTTTGTTACTCAGTAACATTTTTATGTAGAAACTAAGAGAAATGAACTGAAGTTCACACCACTCATCTATTTTTATGTTTTCCTCCGTGCTTCCCTTTATGAATGTTGCTGCTATGCATTACGATGCACATTAGCAATTCATAACATTTTACTCAATGACAGTTACTCTGTTTATGTGTTGTGTATCTTAGAATAACCTTCCCTGTCTTGCTTAGACAACACATTCAACCTGGCTCATAGCCTCCTCGCCTCTTGGTTCGCATGTGTTTTAAAGATATTCAAGTATAATACTCTGTGTGTGTGTAGGAATTGAACCTAGAGCCTCCAACATGTTAGGCAAGCGATCTTCCACTGAACTGCATGCCCCGCAGTACACTGAAGTGTTCATAGCTTCCCCGCAGACACACAGTTGACACTCCTCCATGCCCCTAGTCATTGCTTTCCCTTCTGTTGGAGAACAGCTCTCCTTCCCTGCTCCTTCAAGACTCTAACAGTCTTCTCTCTAACAGTCATAGGTACCAGAGCTATCTCTGGTGAGTTCCTCTGTATTTCCTGTCTATACCTTAATTACAACAGCATTTGTTCTAATTAGTGGTGTGATTAACACCATAGCCCAAAGAAACTTTAGGGGGAAAAGGTTTATTTCAGCTCACAGTTGTAGTTTATCACTGAGGAGAATTAGTGTAGGATCCTAGAGCAGGAACTGAAGCAGAGGCCATGGAAGACCTCTGCTTACTGGGTGCTTCCCCCTGGTTTGCTCAGCTTCTTACACAACCCAGGGCCACCTGTGCAGAGGCAGCACAGTTCACGGTAGGCAGGGTTTAGTTAAGAAAAAGAAGATGCCCCACAGATATGCCTATAGGCCAATCTAATAGAAGCATGTTTTCAAGTGAAGTTCCCTCTTCCCCTGCTTGTGTCAACTTGACAAGAAATCTAACTAGGACACTATCACTTTACTGGCATATATCTTTCCTCTTAAGTATAATTTACTAGAAATTGGGAGTGAAGTGTGCTCAGTTATAAGAGGTCAGCGCAGGTGTGTGTATAAGATGATACGATGAACTCAGTGTCTGTGTAACCAAGCCCGGAAATGATGCTTTCATGACCCACACCTGTAGATTACTCAGGCAGGATCTTTACTCACTCTTTCTTGGAACCTGGAAATCTCATCAGCAGCAGTTTTCCTTTTTTCTGCCTTTTCTGCCTTTTCCTTTATCTCCTTCTCAAGTCTCAGGAACTCCTCCTGCTCTTTCTTTTGCTGGGTGTAACTTTCTAGGAGCAGTTTTAACTTAAACTGCCGCTGGCGCTCTTTCTGCTGCTTCCTCTCTTTCTCCTCTTCTTCTCTGAGCTGGGAAGCATGCTTCATTGACATCTCTATACTTTTCTGCTTTTTCCAAGCTTCAATTGCCAGTTTCTGCTTCTTTCTCTGTTCCTCTTTCTGCTTTTGGTTATCTTCTGGTTTGCTATGAGAAGGCATAGGTGTGCTGTCTGCCTTTTCTTTTAGCTTGAGTATTTCCTCTTTCTTTTGCTGCTTTTTGGTTTTCCAGTTTTGAATAGACTAAAGTTAAACCAAAACAAAAAAACAAGCATGCTTTTGATTAGTCCATGACATTTAATACAGCCTCAGTTCTAGCTTCCAGAAAACATGTTGATTTGTATATCCTGATGTTTAGGTTTTTGGTTTTGTTTTAAATCTGTGCAACTTTTTTCTACTCACATTTTAAAATATTACTGTATCCTGTAAATCTCCGGACCCTGGGCTATTCCTTGGCCTTCCCCTTCAAGCAGGAACCCTCCTCCATCTCTGCCATCATTCTTGGGTACTGCCACTTGCCTCTAATCACCTCACTTGAAGCTGTACTATTTGGGAATCGATCCTGGCCTTGCCATTTATCAGGCGTGAGTCTGGATGAGTCTCTAGTGTAAGCTCTGCTCATCTCCTGTGGTGTCTGAATGAGACTGCCCCCCAGAGGCTCATATATTTGAATGCTTAGTCGTCAGTTGGTGAACTGTTTGGGAAGGATTGGAAGGTGTAATCTTGTTATAAAACATGCATTACTGATCATGGGCTGAGGTTTCAAGTGCACACACCATTCCTAGCTTAGCTCTCTCTGTCCACCTAATGCGTGTGAAAAAAAAAGATGTAAACTCTCAGCTACTGTTCCAGCACCATGCCTGTCTCCTGCCATGCTCCTTGCCCTGATGCATGGACTCTAACTCCTGGAACCATAAGCTACAAATCAAATGCTTTCTTTCATAAGTTGCCTTAGTCATGGTATTTTGCCATGGCAATAAAAAAGTAACTAAGACATCCATAAAATGGTAGGAAGTAATTCTTATACAGGGTTATTGTGACAATTAAATGGGTTGGTGCCTGATATATGATGCTTCAAGATTTCAGGAAAAAAATTTAAAAGTTCTATCTCCAATATGAATATGTAAAGACTATTTAAAATTCTAGCAACCTTTACATATAATATGGTACCTACTAATTTTTCAGTCCCCATCCTGGTCAGGAAACTATTTCCTCATCTTTCCTTACAGTGTATCATTCATTCATTCATCCATTCAATACATCCTACACAGAGAAATAATATGAAAAGCAAAGCTATAGGATTAAGAGATGATTAGCAGTACCATCTAGACAGTGCCATCAATATGCCAGACCTCAAACATCGCAGGAATTTGTGACAGAATGAACTTCTTCCTTACAGGGCAACTGACTGTCAGACGATCACCTTATCTCATGCTAGGGTGGTCAGGGTTTACAGACTGGAATCCAGTCCATGGGTCAGCTTTGAGTGGCACAGTTCTGGGTGAGATGCAGCATAGACACTATACAGGGCATCCTAGGAATGTTGTTAGTGAAGGCCCCAGGGGACCACTTATTTGGGGGTTGGCAAGAAGAGGTAGCCTTTAATCTAGGAATATTCTGTAAGTCACAAAAGGGATGGGAAAAGGAGATATACATAAAAAGAGAAGGTATTCAAAGGTACTCTGTAGGGCCCTGGTCTCGCTTATTTCTGGGGTGCATCACGGGGACAGTTTATGATCAGCTAACTAAGCTTCCTGTCTGTTTCTGTGCTCTCCCTGCCCCGCCTGGTGGTTAGCTGCAGGGCATTTACTCCATTGTTAATATGGTAATTTTCCACCTGTATGGGCGGAGATCCTTATGCAGCAGTTAGGTACAGAAGGATTTCCCCAAGTCTGAATAAAGGGCATTCGGCTAGTCTCCTTTCCAATGACCCTGGTCTCTCTGTGTGTTCTTTCAATCTCCAGGCCCTTGCTTGACTAGCATTCGGTACAGTGGCGCGGGAACTGTACCAAGGGTGTAACACAAAATCGGGTGTTACAGTACTCCAGAGCATGTCTGATTATCATTATTTATCCAAAAGACGGGCTACAGTAAAAGTGTTTTCCCCTAGAAACTGAGGAAGCCTCTTCCTGCTGTCTGCATAGCTCTGAATCCGTGCCATCCTGGGAGTGCAGACACAGTCTGATGGGACACTGTGATTGTTTGTGGTGCTGCAGCTGCGGTTCTACCATTGAGTACAAGTCCCTATCTATTCAACATCTTGTCTTCATCTGCTCTACCAGCTCCTGGGCTGACTGTATGCTGTTGTGGAACACTGATGACTCAGTTGAGAGTTCTGCAGTGCCTGGCACACCCACGGTGCACAAGAGCTGTTGTAGCTACTATTACCTCTTTTTTCCTCTCCTCTAGAGCCAGGAACTTCTGATACCACTTCTCGTGCTGCTCCACTTCACGCAGCGTTCTTCCCGGAAGGTGCTCCACAGCCTCCTTGATGAACGCCGGCTTCCCCTTATGTTTGCTCCTCACTTTCACAAAGTTCTGGTGGTCAAAGTCGTCCCAGCCCCCCTGTCGCCCTCCTGTTTGCTGAAGGAATTTTTCAAACTCCACAACTTCTTCTGGCAGAGTACTTGGTGCCACTCTGTCTACGGGGACTTTGCTCGAGAGCGCTCTGAAAGCTTTCTCTGTTTCTGAATTTCCCAAAGCCCAGGAGTCAATTCTCCTGGAGATGGCATTCAGCTCATTATTAGTTGTTTTCTCTTCTTGAATAAGCTCTTCATATCTAAAATTAAGAAAAATGAAGTGTGAATAACATAGCAACCAATCCATATTAGCCCTTCACTCCCCTAAAAATTTAATTATCCCTGACTCTGCTTCCTCTCCCCTGTTGACATTTCCAATATTAATAATAATATTCATATCTGAGTCTTAAAAGAAGTGTTTCCTCAAACATGAACAGTCTTTCAAACTTTCGAGATCTTCTAGTGCACAACATGAATGAAAATTTGTTTTAAGAATGGAAGGCTGTCTAAACTCTAGGACAGAAGATAGACTGTAAGACTTGTAGTACATTAATAGGTGACAACCTAAAAGTGAGTTATTAGAAAACCAAGGTCAAAACTTTAGATTAAATGAGTTTAAAACATACATCAGTCTCTGTTCTTCTTTAAAAGTGTTGATTGCATTTTCAATTTCTTCCATCATTTCTCTGAGCTTTTCAACAACTGCAAAAAAAAGTCATACTTCAATATAGCTGGTTAATAATTAGGAGAAAATACAGACTGTCCCTAATATAAAATCATTTCTTAACCTAAGAAATTAAGAAAACTGCTCACAAGTATATTTTTGTGATTACAATTTCTTATTAAAGGTATTATCCTATACACCCATTATTAAACCCTATAATCAGTATTACTTTTATAAGAATTATTTCATACTACACATACTATTGTTTGACTTGCAAATTTTTTGCAATGTTTTGGTTACAAAAATGTGGACAGCCAGGCACAGCGGTGCACACCTTTAATCCCAGCACTTGGGACATGGAAGCAGATCAATCTCTGAGTTGGAAGGCAGTCAGAGCTACATATTGAGACCCAAAAAAACAAAAACCCAAAAACCAGTTATGCTTAACTTTGCATATATGTACTATTGCTGCTCTTTTTCTGTGGCCATATGTGGTATTTGATTATCTAAAACCATCTGATTTGTTTAATTTTCCTGTTGATGAGCCTTTAAATATGCACAATAGTAAAGTCCTTGCGTGTGTGTGATGGAGGTGGGTCATCTATCTGTTGCTTTCATTGGTTAATTAATAAAGAAACTGCTTGGCCCTCTGATAGGGTAGAATTTAGGTAGGCGGAGTAAACAGAACAGAATGCTGGGAGAAAGAAGTCGAGTCAGGAGTCTCCATGATTCTCCCACTCCAGACAGACGCAGGTTAAGATCTTTCCTGGTAAGCCACCTCGTGGGCTACACAGATTATTAGAAATGGGTTAGATCAATATATAAGAGCTAGCCAATAAGAGGCTGGAACTAATGGGCCAACCAGTGTTTAAAAGAATACAGTTTCCGTGTAATTGTTTCGGGTGTAAAGCTAGCCGGGTGGCAGGACACAGCCCCGCTGCTCCTACAAACTAGCCGTGTGGGCGGCCGGGTGCCAGGAACGTAGCCCACCGCTCCCACTACTGCAGAGTTCATCAACATGTGTGTATGTATGTATGTATGTATGTATTTATGCATGTATGTATGTATTTAAGCATGTCCAAGTAAGTATTTTGAAAATATGACTAATAAAACTTGAAGTAATTTCTGACTAAGGAAAGTCTCTGTACAGTATGTTAGGCTCACCCCTCTGCAGTGCAGACTCATTCTCTGCATAGCTGCTGACCCGTTCTCACTGCCTTCCTCTGTATACTTTAGATCACTTCCAAAGGAAGGCAAGAACTGTCACTCTAGCTGATATTTTTGTGGTTATTAACAAGCATGGACATTTGTTTCACCTGAGTTTTGTATTTCTTTTGATACCCTTGTGCCTTATAATCTCTGTCCATTTTCCTATCACTGTTTCTCTTGGTTGCCCTAATTTGTAGACATTTTATATAGCTTATAAATATTCAATTATTAAATTACATAAGTAGATATACTTTTCTAATGTCTTTCACCAATACTTATAGGTTTGAGTGTTTTTAAAGTAGTCAATTATGGTCCTTTTTTCTTTAGATTTTGTTCTTTTTTTAAAGATTTATTTATGTATTAAGATTTTATTTATTTATTTAGATTTTGTTCTTTTTTTTAAAGATTTATTTATTTGTTAAGTACACAGTGCTCTATCTGCATGCATGCTTGCAGGCCAGAAGAGGGCGCCATTTCTCATTACAAGTGGTGGCAAACCACCATGTGATTGCTGGGAATTGAACTCAGGACCTTCAGAAGAGCAGGCAGTGCTCTTAACCACTGACTGAGCCATCTCTCCAGCACCCTTGTTCTTTTCTTATACAACTGAATATTACCAAATAGTTGTTACATGTTCCCTCCAGCACGTTATGGCCTCACTGAATGTAATGAATACTACCCGTTCTTTCCCCCTTTCCAGTTTTATACTTGCCGTACTCCAAGCACTGCACCTGTCCTCTAGAGCACTGTTCATTCCATCCTGCCCCAGACCCACCAGAAGGTCTGTGAGCGCCACTGCGCAGAACGAAAGCTCGGAGATCTAGTCATTTCCCTAAAATGTCCTAACCAATAAATGGCAGGCCACGACTTTGATCCAGTATATTCTGAGTACCAGTCAGGAGTGAATTTTGAAACAGAAGGTGAGGGTGTGAATTTTCCCCTCTCACAAATTAGCATTTGTCCCAGTACAGTCAAGCCATTCTTTACATATTTTAAATACTTTTGAAAGATATTTTTTAAAAAAGCCAATGACAGGATAAGCAGGGTAAGGGCTATGAATTGAGAAGTCTTTTTTCTACTTAGATGCCTAAATCTGAACCTTCCTATGCCAGTGTTCCCACCTCATGGTGTCTCTTCCCTAATTTATAACGTTAAGGACTGAATGGCAGTTTAAAGGCTGAAAATCCACTTTTCCACTCTACACTTACTAATTCCTAACTAATGAAGTAGGGCTGGCTCCACGATTGCCAAATGAAAGACACACTTAGAGAAAAGCATGCATGTTCTCATGCACCAGCAGGAAACAGCAATATAGAAAAGAGAATCTTATATTAACTTTTCTTACAATCAGGCGTGGGCTTCACGTCTTTCAGCTGGTGCTGAAGTTTCTTCACATTGTTATGTATTTTGGCCAACTGTTGCTGGATCTTTGCTCCTGTAAGGAAAAGTCCATACTTTAATTCTGTGACAAGTGTAGCTACACTTAGGCTTCTGCAGATGAACCCATACAGTCCTTAGTGAAAGACAGCCAACTAAACAGCAGCCATTTATGTCAGAACATCTGGACGTCAGGTGTTGCTGCTCTCAATAAAGCATGACACTGTAAACCCGTGTCATGGAGATGCATCTGTCTTTCCTTCTATGGAGACGGACTTAGGGACGATCATTTTAAAAGCATGCCAAGTAACTTAGCTTAACACGTTTTATTCTCTGTTTTGGTTTTGTTTGGTTGGGGTACTTTTTGTTTGTTTGTTTGTTTGGTTTTGGTTTTTTATACAGGGTTTATCTGTGGATTCCTGGCTGTCCTGGAACTAGTTCTGTAGACCAGGCTGGCCTCAAACTCACAGAGATCCTCCTGCCTCTGCCTCCTGAGTGCTGGGATTAGAGGTGTGACCCTATATTTAGAAAGAAAAAATCACTAGAATTATTTTAAGTGTGATAAGACAGTATCAGGAGCAGTTTAATCTCTACCTAGCAAATCAATGTTTTTCTTTCTTTTTGCAAATCAATATTTTAAAGCTTAGTAACGGCCATTATTTTTTTCCATAAGCAATAAGTAGCTTTTGTATTATAAGGATTTTTGCAAAGTACAGACTCTACTCTACAAGGTATTCTCAGCCCCTATGATAATGATTAATCTACATAACAAACAACAGCACCTTCACTGTACAAGCTGTAAGGAATTCTCCTGTATTTCATCTCAGTATCAGATGCAGTTCTCTGGAGGGAGGTAGCAACTGTATGTAGGCTTTAGAAGGTTGACAAGGAAACTTGGGCTTGGGCATGGCCTGTTCTTACCCCTTTGTATGGCCAGTGGTGTTAGCTCTGACTCTACTGTTGTTTACTGGGTCTAGTACTAGCAGTCAGCAATGCCAGGGTTATTGATGAGTTAGACCCAGATAGCACAGGGAATGAAGTATTTTAATTTTTTAAATATTAACAGCTTTTGCTGACTTAATTAATTCAGAATCAAGTCTAACCTATCAATATGGAAGAAAACAATTCAGTTAGAATGAACTTCAAAATAAAATAAATACATGTCCTTAAGAGACAAACTTATCATCAGTCATGTATCTCCACTGAACAACAGTCAATGCACAAGTACAACACAGATCACCACTAGTCTTCAGGTCACTCAAAAGTTTGTAATTCACCGCGAACCCAACTTACTCTCTATCTTCCTGCTGTTTATCAGTTTGTTCTCCAATTCTTCCAGCATGCTCTGCTCAGTTCTGAAGTCCCCTCTTTGGTTGTAGAAATGACTGTGTTTATCTTTTTCTATAACAATAACTCTTTGAAAAAAGAAACAGATGGTAGAAATATGAATTCAGTATATTTTAGTTGTTTAAAAAATGAAGATATTCAAAATAATTAGTATTTTATATTCAATTCATTTAAAAAGGAATATAATTACTTAGACTAATAAGGTTAAGGGGTCAAAACATTATCTAACTTTAGCTAAAATTGGCCTTAAGTCCAATTTTAACCAATTATAATTTAAACTATTACATATTTCCTTTGAAAATACAGAAACCTTTGGCTATGAGGTTGTTAGTTACTGTCCTCAAGAAAAATCCAAATATCCTACTAAGGAGGCTTTTTTTTTTAAGTTGGCAGAGAAATCAATTTTCTCAATGTTTGTTTTCCTTCTCCCACAAGTTATTTACCCTAAATATTAAGAACACCTAAGTATTTAATAGTTACCCTCTAATCTTGAATCTAAAGCAGCAGGATTGTCTCTAGCCCATGGCGTCATCGCACAGAACCTGAGAGGCAATGCTCTCCATAGTTTCCCAGTGCGTTCCGCCTTGCAGCACAGAGAAAGGTTTATACTGACAGCCACATTGGGAGAAATGGGTGAGATGGAGCAGGCCCTGCGGGCTGCAGGCTGTCTCCGTGCATGTGTGAGAAGACGTAAGGTAACGGAGAATTGCAAGGATTTCATCTACATAACAACTCTAACAGACAGAGAATGGCTACCAAAGCCCTGTTAAGGCTGAGAATCCTAGCAAGGTCTTATTGGGTACCAGAGACATCACTGTGACCCAAACAGAAATGTCTGCTGTGGATACAGGATATGTGATGATAGTTAGTTACATTTTGCTACTCATGGACTAGAAACATTAACAAAGATTTTCAAATGTACTAATATTGTGATACTGTAGACAACAGTGAATGTTCAGTAAACACTGTTTAAGAGAAAAAACATGGACTGTATGATATAAAAAATTGAAATAAGTGGAAATCTTATAATATACAGAATGGATCTGAGAGGAACACAAACCAGGAGACAATTAATTAAAAGATCATTGAAAAAAACAGCTCAAGGACACAGTATTGCAAACCATTCCCTGTCTTCAGTGGGACCAATCATGTGATGCAGTGGGCTCTACTCCAGAACATCACTGCTCAGGAGAAACACAGCTTCCAGGTGCTGAAGACAGCAGAGAAGAGCCCTGCATATTTCCCAGCAGCTTCAGCGCAAACTGTGGATTTGGTGTGGAAAACTGATCTGACTCCAGGTTAGACCCACAGGCGCTCACTCAGGAAGCTCCACATCTCCTAGCAGAAGCTACGGACCAGGGTCAGGACCAGACACAGGCATGTAGAGGTCAGGACCAGACACAGGCATGTAGAGGTCAGGACCAGACACAGGCATGTAGAGTTGCACACCCCATAGCAAAAGCTACAGGTCCAGGCAAGAGTCACATGCAGACACAGGACAATACCTGACTCTCAGGCAAGAGGCACATGCAGACACAGGACAATACCTGACTCTCAGGCAAGAGGCACATGCAGACACAGGACAATACCTGACTCTCAGGCAAGAGGCACATGCAGACACAGGACAATACCTGACTCTCAGGCAAGAGGCACATGCAGACACAGGACAATACCTGACTCTCAGAAAAGGACTTGAGATAGAGCCACCAGCCCCAAATACCAGTCCCACAGAGGGAAATGACACTTCAACCCTTTTATGGCTTAGTTTCTCTCCACTGAACAATGCAAATGCCACCATTGAAAGAAAAAAGGGGAGTGGAATTTTAAAAAGAAAAAAGTTCTAAAAGGAAGAAACGAAGGAAGGAAGGAAGGAAGGAAGGAAGGAAGGAAAGAAGAAGAGAGAGACAAGGAAAGAATCAACCAACAAACTAACACCAGATGCACAGGTCCCAGTAGAGAAACAACACAAAAACTGTGAGTCCCTCCAGAAATCACTGGTCTCCTAAGAATGGCACCTACTGCAAATATCCTGAAAGAACATTCAGACAAAGTATCCTAAAGAATGAGGATGCTCAAACAACTCAGAGAAGACACGACTGTGCTCTAAAAGGGCAAAAACAGAGCTGAACGTCATTCCAAGACATGAAAATGTAATTCAACAAAGAGAATTGCTGAAGAAAACACAAACTGAAAATAAAAATGCTTTAAATAACAATCTTATATAAAAAAAAAAAAACAACTCAGTGGAAATCCCAGCCAGAATAGATCATGGAGAAAACAGAAAATTGGGGCTAGAAGATAACATGCAGAAATTGGATTACTCAATGAAGGTGAATGATCAATTAAAAAAAAATGAATAAAATGGGGGGGGGGCGCTCTGAGACACCATCAAAATACCCAACCTTTGGATCATGGGCATAGAAAAAGAAGAAGGCATAGAGAATATTTTCAATAAATTTATAGGAGAAAATTTCCCAAACCTGGAGAAAGAGAAGCCCATCTATATACAAGAGACTATAAAAACTCAGAAGAAACTAGAAAAAAAATTCCTTGTTCATATTATAATTAAAAATCACAAAACAATTAAAAGGTATAAAAGCTGCAACATGAAAAGGTCAAGTCACTTATAAAGGTAGACCTATTAGAATAATAGCTGATCTTTAACAGAAACTTCAAAGCCAGGTTGTTACAATTAAGAAATTGTTTTGTGCCGGGCGGTGGTGGCGCACGCCTTTAATCCCAGCACTCGGGAGGCAGAGGCAGGCGGATCTCTGTGAGTTCGAGACCAGCCTGGTCTACAAGAGCTAGTTCCAGGACAGGCTCCAAAACCACAGAGAAACCCTGTCTCGAAAAACCAAAAAAAAAAAAAAAAAAAAAAAAAAAAAAAAAAAAAAAAAAAAAAAAAAAAAAAGAAATTGTTTTGAGTTTCAGAAGAGACTTTGGACTTTTAAACAGTATTGATACTGTGAAAGACCCTGAGACTTTTGAAATTAGACTAAATGTATTTTGCATTATATGACCACAAGCCCATGGGGACCATGGAGTAAAAGTAGTGATCTGAATAAGAATGGACCCAAGCTCATGTATTTGGATATTCGATTCAGTTAGTGGAACAATCTGAGAAGGATCAGGAGGTGTAATGTCATTGGAAGTGGTGTGTCACTAGGGGAAGGCTTTGTGGCTTCATAGAATTTGTGCCTTTCTAAGAGTGCTCTCTCTCTCTCTCTCTCTCTCTCTCTCTCTCTCTCTCTCTGCTTCCTACAAGATATGAGTTCTCTGCCTGCCTTGCTGTTGCTATCTTCCTTGCGATGATGATCACAGCCTATGACCCTCTCAAACCGTAAGTAGCCTTGGTCATGGTGTCTTATCAAAGCAATAAAACTAACTAAGACACTGTGCTGACTAGTTTTAGGTCAATTTGACACAAGCTAATCATCTGAGAAAAGGGAATCTCAATTGAGAAAATGCCTCCATGAGACTGTGCTGCAGGACATTTTCTAAGTAATTAGTGTGAGAAGGCCCAATCCATCGTGGCCTGAGCTAGTGGTCCTGGATTTGATAAGAAAGCAGGATAAACAAGTCAGAGGGAACAAACCAGGAAGCAGCGCTCCTCTTTGGTCTCTGTAGCAGTTCCCACCTCCAGGTTCTAGCTGCTTGAGTTTCTTCTCCATTTGATGGTGAACAGTGATGTGGAAGTATAAGCCAGATAAAACCTCTCCTCCCCAAGTTACTTTGGTCATGGTGTTTCATTACAGCAATACTAACCCTAACTAGGACAGACAACATACTATTTACTCGGAGAGAAACAAAGGATTCAGTAATCTAACCCAGCTATGGACCCTGTGATCTGCAGTAAGAATTAGCCTGGGAGACATGACCACTGATACAGTAGTGGGATCATAAAGTAGTAACCGACTACTTTATGATTGTACTTAAAGCCCTCTCCATAAGACAGAACTCATGCCTGGTACTGCTCACTAGGCCAAAGCCCGTGATTGGCTATATCACAGGCCCTATAGGAGAACCTGATGCTATTATTCTAAATGGACATAGTATTGCACTGCCCAGGCCAAGTTCTTACCTTCCTACTCATAAGTCAGTCTATCAACCCTGACCAAGAAGCTTTTTTTATTTTCAGTAAGGAGATACTGATACAGAGACCCACAAGTGCTCAGATGTAAATGGAACATCAACCTTTCCCCCCAAGGCTTGGGGATCTCTGAGGAAGAAGTAGGGGAGATATTATAAATGCTAGAAGTAGAAGATGTCTTCAGTGAAACATTAACTGCTGACATGACATGGACATTGCACATATGAACTCAGAACACTGACTGCTTATACGACACATGTATAATATCAAGCCACTCAACATCCCCGCCTGTCATGAATGATGTCCCACCTCTAGCTGAAAAACCATTGGCAACTTGTGGCTCCTGGAGGAGGCGGGTGAAGTTTTTCCCAGGATGTAGGTCCTGGAAAGTTACCCATGCTTCAATAGATGATCCTATACCCATGCATACAGAGCAACACTATGTGAACTCAGTATGTTGAAAAAGAGAGAGCGCAAGAAATCACATGTTGTAGGGCGGGGAAAATAGTGGGGAGGCAGGAACTAAAGGGAAGGGTTAGCCCTACATCAATCATTTACCAACTTCATAACCTGTGAGAAGATACTTAGAGACTTATTCTCTATAATCTTCACTTAAAAATGTTCATAAAGGCCGGGCGGCGGTGGCGCACACCTTTAATCCCAGCACTCGGGAGGCAGAGGCAGGCGGATCTCTGTGAGTTGGAGACCAAACCTGGTCTACAAGAGTTAGTTCCAGGACAGGCTCCAAAACCACAGAGAAACACTGTCTCGAAAAACCAAAAAAAAAAAAAAAAAAAGTTCATAAAGTACCTACCTAAACTATAGAATAAAATATATTCAATCTGTTATTTGATATATAAAATATAGACATTATTTTGTTTTCTTAAAATACACTAATATAAATGATAAAAATAAAACAATTAATTATAAGTGAAAACTTTCAGTTATAATTAATTTCTGTTACATAGACTGCCTGTGCATCTCACACCTCCCTCCTTCTTTTTGTTGTTTGTCAAGAAGTTTCCTAACAATGTGAGGCTGGGGACTGTGGAGTTATATTGATTTTACATTGTTCATAATAAAATGGCTAGTGATATTATTTGAAGACAATATTCTCATACTCACTGATTCTTTAATTTTTCTGCTGTGCGTATGAATTCTGCTTTCTTCATCCGACTAACTTTCTGCTTCCAGTTCGGAAGCTGAGAAGGACGAATTCCACCGGAAGTACTAAAGCTGCCATCATTCTGCATAAAGAAGAAAAGAATCACCAGTGATAAAAGTGTCAAGAGATGTCGAGAGAAATAAAGCATCAACAGTTTTCTGGGGCTAATCGTATGGTCAATCTAGATTCTTTACAAACATACTTTGTGAGCTGGAGAGATGGCTCAGTGGCTAAGAGCACTTAGCGCTCTTACGGAGTACCTAGGTTCAGTTCCCAGCACCCACTTGACATCTTGTAACTGTCTGTAACTCTAATTCCAGTTCCGATACCCTCTTCTGGCCTCTGCAGGGACCAGACATACACATGGTTTACATCCAGACTTGCAGGCAAATATTCATACAGATAAAATAAAAATATACTCTAGAGACAAAAGAAATTCTATCCTAAAATGCTAAATTGAGTGTGAAATAGTGTATTAAGGGATTATTTACAAAAAGGATGTAATCTATTCACAAGTCACTTCTCATCTATAAACTGAACACTGTGATTGACAGGTGGCAGCAGGGAAGGATGACGCTCTACTAGCATGGCACAGCATCGTCAAATCTTGAGGAAAACAGATTTAAAGAGAAAAGAATAAACCATAAAAAGCAGGCAAAACCAAAAAACAAACAACAACAACAACAAAAAATAAAAACCCAGAAACTGGGATAAATAGAAAAGAAATAAAGGGGCTGAGGTGGAGAGGCTTGTATTTTCTGTTAGAACACCCCCAAGGGTCTATTTGAAAGACTCACATCAAAGGAAAAAGGGAGACAGCCATTGCACAATCAGATGGGAGGGTGTTAGGTCAAGGGATTAGCTATGCAAATTCTGAGGGCCAGAAAGACTGGCTAGCAGAGAAAAGACAATTTAGGCAAAAGATTAGTAAAGGTGGTTAGAGATGAGAGTAGACAGGCAAGCATGCACCAGATACATAGATGTTTTAGTCACGGGGGCTGTTACTGAAGTGTATCTGTGCTGTTCAATGTAAGAGATGGCAACTGCAGGGCATCAGTCAGGAAAGGAAGCTGACACATAGGGAGATTACACAGACAGGGTCTCAAAGGGAGAGAACCCTATCTCCAAAACAAAGGAGAAATCCAGCTTTTTTCAGCCTTATTAGAATGCAAATGTGCTTTCATCATTAATAAATGGTAAAATTATGTGTAGACCAAATAATTGTTTAAAAACAAATTTCTTAATGATTTATCAGTAAATGATTTGCCGGCCTGTTTTATAAACCTACCCACCTTCTCACTCAGGGATGAGGGAGATTTTAAGAGCGCATGCTGCTCAGGCAGAAGACCTAAATTCAGTTCCCAGCATCCACAAAGGGAGGCTCACAACAGCCTGTAACTCCAGCTCGAGGAGGTCCCAGGCCTCTGGCCTCATGTGTATGTGCCCACATCCCTACCCCACCTCCACATACACATACTTAAAAATAAAATAAATCTTGACAAGAAACTTCTCAGGTAGTGGGATAGATGCGAAGAAAATGCCTGGGGAGTCCTGCCGTGCGTAGTTCTTAAAGAGCCTGTGTCGGGCTGTTTTTTGGACATAATGAACTGGCAGGGAGTGTGTTGATGGAGCGAGGCACAAGAAGCAGGGAGAGTCATGAGGAAGCTGGTGAAGGCGTGCAGGCCGGGTGTGAGAGGGTAACAACAGCCTGGGCCAGGAGAAGGACACAGGAAAGGTAAAGTGTATCTGGAAGGTAGTTATGACCAAGAGGAGCTGCCGAGAAACGGGGTGAGAGAAGAGGGGAAGCAAACAAGGCTTGACATTTCTAGGAGCAAGAACGGAGATTTAAAATCAGAGTTCATATACCATAAGACATTACTTATTAAGTGTTGACAATTCAGTAATCTTTCTAGATATTTATGAAGTTATGCAACGCCACCACTGTCTTGCTCTAGAATATTTTTGTCATGTCAAAATAAATGCAGAGCTATAGCAGTCTCTCCCTCATGGCTTCTCTCAGCTCCTGGTCTTCTAACTCTAGGAGTTTGATTATTTCCATCAATGGGCTTATATAACATATAGTCTTTGTTGTAAGGCTTCTTTCACTTAGCATAATGCTTTAAGATTTGCTCAAATTATTCTATGGATCTATATCTCATCTGTTTTGCGTGGGTATGTGTGCAGTATATACATGGTCTCATGTCTGAATGCATTCATATGTGTGTGGAGGTCAGAGGTCAGTGACTGGTGTTTTCTACTGGTCTCCATGTTAATTTCTGAGACAAGGTCACTCGTTGAATTTAGCTCACTGGCCGCCTGGCCCCCGGGATCCTCCTGGCTTTGCTCTAGCAGCCCTACAGCTAGTCATGCACTGCCATGCCTGGCTTCCACACGGGAGCTGGAGAATCCAAACTCAGGTTCTCATGCTTATGCTAGAAGCACTTTCCTACTGAGCCATCTGCCTAGCCCACCTTATACTTTAACAGCTGAATTAATTTTGTATTATATGGACTTATCTTCCATTTTCCTACTCATCACCCATCACCTGATGAACAACTGGGTTATTACTACTCTCTTGCCAATATGAATCGTTACTATAGATATTCTATACAAGTTGGGTTTTTTTTTTGTTTGGTTGGGGGTTTTTGTTGTTGTTGTTTTGTTTTGTTTTTGTTTTTCTAGACAGGGTTTCTCTGTAGCTTTGGAGCCTGTCCTGAAACTAGCTCTTGTGGACTAGGCTGGCCTTGAACTCACAGAGATCCTCCTGCCTCTGCCTCCCAAGTGTTGGGATTAAAGACATGCACCACCACTGCCCAGCTCTATGTAAGCTTTAATGTAAAAACATTTTAAATTTTGTTACACATTTAGCTATAGAATTTTGGTGTCATAAGGTAATTTTTTACCCTTCTCATTTTAAAACAAATTGCCTCTTTATTGTTGATTTGGAATCATTCTTTATGCATTCTTCCCTTACTTCATATTCATATGTGACTGACAGCTGTCTCCACTCCGAGTCCTCTATTCGCTTCCTTTATAATGCCAATGATTCAAAACATTGTGAGGTATTTTCACAGTAACTGCTTCATTTTACATTCCCACCAGCAATATGTGTTGCTTCTAATTTCTCTGCATCCTCACCAACACTTACTGTTGCTTGTCCTTTCCACTGCAGCCATCTTAATTGGCATATAGCAGTACCTCACAATGCTTTTTATCTGGGGTCCTGGGGATCAAACTCAGGGCCTTGTGTGTGAGGGACAAACACTCCAGGACAGAGTTACACATACACAGCCCCCCTCGGAGCGACTTTGATTAGTCTGTGATGACCGGGGATGTTGGGCATCTCTTCGTCACCTTTTAAGGGAAGTCTATTCACCACTATTCTCTTTGTTTTAGTTTTTGGCAGAAAATGCAGGATTTTCTAATTAAGTTGTAAGCAATGGAAGAGGCCATATAAGAAAAGTAACCTGTTAAACAATGTGTTTTCCTACTGTTCTACTTTTATTTGACAGGATGCACACTCCATTCATGAATTGTAAATAAAAGCCAATTCAACAGCTAAGCTAAATTTTTGCTCTTTAACATATATTTTAGACATAGAACCTTGATCAACACATCATTTCCAGTATTTTCCTCCCATTCTCTGACTTGTCATTCTTTTCACACACAAAACACACACACTTCTGGTGCTAACACGCTAAGCACATTCTTAACCACTGAGCTAGCCCTCAGCCCCTTCACTTTCTTGAAAAGAGGAACAAGAGTTAACTCTGATGGAGTCCATCTGCTCTTCCTAGCGCTCCAGCTGCTTTTCCTTCGTGTGTCACACAGAACGAACGGTCACCCAATTGAAGGTCAGAAAGACTTGCGCCTGGTCGAGCTTCTAACACCAAAGTCTCTGATCTAGTCTTCGTTAATTCACGTACACAGCACGGGTAGAAACTGAACTGCTGTGTGATCATCCAACAGTTGAAAGACCTTTCCTTATAGTGCTTCTGCTGAGACTCCACTGCCCACAAACAGATCTGGTTTTCAGCTCTCAGTGAACCTTCTGTTCAGCCTGAAGCCAGTATCACCTTTGGTTATGGTAATGGTATGTTTACAGTAGCCTGAAGCAATTTGAAATTGAGACTTATGAGCAATTGAACAGTATTCTTAATTTTTTTTTTTACTATTTTAGATACCTTGCATTCTTCCACATGAATTTTCAATGTTGTTTTTAGTTAACTAGGGTTGTCTGTTTATCTGGTGTGTGACCGGATCTCTCACTGAGTCTGGATCTAGATTGGTGACTAGCAAACCCCAGAAGCTCTGTCTCTGTCCTCCATAGTGCTAGGTTATAAGTATACATCGCTGGTCATCTCAGACTAATCAACGCCGCTCTGAGGGGGGCTGTGTATGTGTAACGGAGTGTTTGTCTCACACACCCAGCTTTTTATAGGAGTGCTGGAGACTTGAACTCAGATCCTCATGCTTGTGCAGCAACACTCTGACCAACTGAGCCATCTCCCCAGCCACCGTAGAGCTTTCCCAGAATTAATGTTTATCATTCATCATTATATAGTTATCTGCCATGTGACTAAATGCTCTCCTCCCACACACGCCACCATTAATCAAGTTGTTATAAAGCTCTAGCCTTCATGAAATGTTGAACAGATGCAGCCATCTCTTCTTAGCCTCAAGGCCCTAGTTCCAGCAGCAGCAAGAAGACTGAAACATGCTCAGGAGTTCTCATGTTTTTCTGGTGGAAAGCCAAACCAGAAACTGAAGTAGAGACCATGGAGGAACGCTGCTTACTGGCTTACTCAAGACTCAGGGTCAGTTATCTTTCTTGTATTTGCCTAAGTATGGCACTGCCAACAGTGGTCTGGACCCTTCTTCATCAATTAACAATCAAGAAAATGCCCTCACAGACAAGCCCAAAGGCCAATCTGATGAAAGCAATTCTTTGACTGAGCTTCCATCTTCTGGGATATGTCGAGGTTTGTGTCAGATGTCCAGTGGGATCTGCCTAATGCTTGAATTAGAAGCAGAACCTGGCATCAGCCACACAATGCTGTCGGCAGGCATAGAGACTACAAG